CTTTCCTCCTTCAGCTCCTCCACACACCCTCCTCTCACAAGAAGAAGAAGAAGAAGAAGAAGAAAAAGAAAATCCAGAGGACGTGATAAAAATAGTCGCGTGTCCGAAAAAGAACAAGAAGATGATGGCGATGATGATAATGATCACGATGATCTTGGTGACGATGATGATAATAATTATGATGATAGCTCCATGCTTGCTCTCATACTCTGCCAGATTATTGAACTCTTCATGATAGTAGATGTTCAGCGCTCATGCCATAGTCTTGTTTACCTGCCTTGTTTTGACCTCACGCCTGCCTATTGCATTCCCCACTTTGCCTGCTCCTTATATGTATTGGATTAATCTCTCTGCCCACGGTATTGACCCCTGCTTCTGCTACTACGACCATGCCTCAAGCATCTCATTTTGGTTTTGGATGTGGACCTTGGACCTTCTGTGCTTGACCATTGCTTGTGCCTCTGGAACCCCTGTTCGGACATCCCCTCAAACAACGTTCAGCTCAGCTCTGCACCACAGCTACTGCTCACTCACTCTCGGTGACATCATCATCCTCAGCTCCCTGGAGGAGCTCCTCCCTCATTGACTGTGAAGGTTAGTGGCTGCACAGCAAAATCCAGGTAACTAATCCTCCTGTCTTTGCAGATTGGACCAGTTCTCTGACTCAGACCTCCACCAGCAGTGATTTATTAATAAATCTTTTAAACCTTTCCTGTTGTCCGATGTCGTGCTTAAATCCAAAAACACATTCTTGTCAGAATTCAAATAAAACAAAAATCAAAGATGCCACAATAACAAAATAAAAAATGACTATAACTCATTGGTTTCTTTTCCCGTGTTGAGCTGAAATTTGGATTGGTGGTAGATGAGAGCAAACACACATAGCACTGTTAAATCAAAAATGTAAAACGGCTGCCAACTGGCAGTCCCTGTCAGAGTTTCTCCCAGAAATTTCTATTTTCTTTTTAATAACAGCTACAGACATATAACCAGCTTGGGACTATAGGAAAACTTGCTGCCCTCCTCAAGATTACACAACTTGACATTGCACACAATCTGACACTGCACACAACATGACACAGCACACAATCTGATGGTGCATA